CGCCCTCTCCCGCATCGACCGTGCCTACTCCAACCACCACGGTTCCGACCAGCTGGACCGCCAGTACTCCGCAACCGCGCTCCCGCACACACCACTCTCGCAGCATAGACCCCTATCTTTTTCCCGTCTCACCAAAAGCCGATCCCAAGGTGCAGGAGGCAACTTCCCCACTGGACCCTTGCGCCACCCAGACTGGAACCGTCGATTGACCCTCGCCTACAACGAAGCACTGCGCGACGACCGCAACCCCCAGAACCCTCTCCGCCGACTGAGGATTCTGAAGCAGTGCATGGCACGAGTGGCGACGAAGATGCATCAAGAAGGACTTGACGTCCCCTCCGATGACCCACACGACCATTTAGGCTGGACAATGGCATACATCCGTGCAGCAGAGCGCATATCCGTACCAACGATGCATCGCTGCTTGGCTGCCTACCCCCACCTTGCTACGATGGCCCCCGGCGCCGACCCGAATGCTCGTCTCTCACGGCTGCTTCAAGCAGTCCGACAACATGCGGTTGACCTCGCCCACAACGCGGTCACGACAGACCTTGTTGCATTACAGCGGCAGGAGGCCGACATCACCTCGGGGGACTACCAGCAACGCAAAACTCATATTCTGACGAAGCTCCGACGCTTGCAACCAGGCTGCAACACCGCCATCGGCGCTATTCAGACCCCAGACGGAAATCTAGCACACACGCCCCACGACATCGCACAGGAGCTGGGGAAGCATTGGAGCCGAGTCTTCACACGACAACCGATCAACCCTCACATCTTGGAGCGCTGGCTCGCATCCCTCCCGCAGTTCCTACCGACCCGACCCCCGGCGCCTACGTCAGACGCCGCCCCGAGCCACCCTAACGCCGCAGACCACGTACAGCAACACCCCGCACCCCCCCCACAACGACAGCCGACCTCCAATCCCACCAGACAACGACCCGGCCGCCCGCGTCGCCACCACTCCCGCCCACCCTTAGACATATCTCCGGACAAATGGGCATTACGAGAGGCAGATGTGGAGTCAGCGGTGAAACATTCGGGCAACAGCATGCCAGGCCCGGACGGAATTCCGTATATCGCTTGGCGGCAGAGCGGCCAGCTCGCCATCAGGGCCCTTTGGGAAGCCGCCGACGCTCTCCAGAGCACCTCCGGGGAGAACTCCCTCCACGAGCTGAACGACGGCAGCGACCCCGACGGCCACGACTTCAACTTGGGCACCCTCGTGTGCTTGGGCAAGAAAAAATTGACTTGCGACCCAACCCATGGAGACGTTTACACGGCGGACAGCACACGTCCGTTGTCTATCGTGAACACAGACAACAGGATCATTGCGAATGCAGCCCGATTGCGCTGGGAACCGGTCATTAACGCGTGGGTCGGCCCACCGCAGCAAGGCTTTCTTCGACACCGATCACTTTTGAATAACGTGCTCGACGTCGACTTTGCCAGCATGGCCACCGCACTCCAATCGGACTCCGGCGCCATCATACTCTTTGACTTCGCGTCCGCGTTCCCGTCGCTCTCGCAGGAGTATTTGCACGACGTGCTGCGCCACCTGGAATTACCGGAGTCGGCCCGGAGCTTTGTGAAACACCTGTACGACAACAACCGATGCCAAATTGTGAGCCAGGGACAGACACTCCCAGGCTTCCCCCTGACGGCAGGCGTCCGGCAAGGATGCCCATTGTCCCCTCTACTGTACGCCATCTGCGCGGAACTATTACTAGACAAGATCCAGGCAACTTGTCCGGGCATCTTGGTACGCGCGTACGCCGACGACACCGCCGTTGTTTCCGCAAACTTGTGGGAGGATGCTCCCCGACTGGCAGCCCTCTTCGACGACTTCGCAGCAATCTCTTGCTTTTCCGCAAACTTGTGGGAGGATGCTCCCCCTTCTACTTTTGTATTGCCCTCTTTTTCTTTCCCATCTTTTTTCCCATGTACTTCCTTATTCTTCTTACCCTCCCCCTCTTCGATTTTCTCTCTTTACGTCCTCTTCCCCTTTTCACTTTTTCCCAGTCCTCTACCTCTGTCACAGCAATCTCTGGGCTGAGGCTTAATCTGCAGAAGACGGTCATCA